AACCTGTTGATTGGTGCTTGCTAAGTAAACCATGGTTGAATAAACCCCAAAAGCTTCCTAAAGGCATTTGTACTACTAGACTGATGCGGGTGCAAAATGTGAGGAAACAGCTACCATCTTTGTGATGTACGTTTTAGGGCACAGATTGATCTAAGGGGGTTTATGGCATCTGAACGTAATGCAAAGGCCAGACTATGGATTTGGATGATCTTAGAAACTCAGAAAACCATGTGACTTTGAGCCTTGAGTTCTGCTTTGGATGGAGGATGCTGTGACTAGAAGCCACAGAAGTGGTAGAATGGATTCATGTTAACACAGGAATACATTGGGTTCCTGGATTTATTATTATTATATATATTTAAGACTCAAGGCCACTGTCCTCAGTAACTACTTCTTTACTCCCCTTTCCAGTGGGAACAAGAAATCATGACATTGTGACTATGATGGGGAATGCAACCATCTAGGGAGGTTGTCTTAAATGGGTGTGTGTGTGTGTGTGTGTGTGTGTATTGTCCCTAAACCAGAGAATAAACAAACCCAAGGAGCTGTAAGCTAATGTCTTTGTGCACCGGGAGAGAAAATGGTATTTTGATCTCTTTGGGCACTCCTGTGTAGAGAAATCTGGCTATTCTTGCCCTCCCGCTAGAATTTCTCTGCAGATAGCACGGGGGTCTAAAAGACACTTTGCCCCAGCAAGCCTCTTTTCTTCTTTCTGTTAGTTCAATAAGACAGCCTTTGAGGATAAAGTTTTCTTTTCCTTCTAAGAAAAGCTACTACAAGCTGACTAACGGTATCCATCGCGAAAGCAAAACACCAAACGGGGAAATTGGAGCCCACGCTTTCCACGGAACGGAACGGATTTAACAGCAGGTGCCGATTACTCAAAGCGATATGGGCAGGACCTGGTGATCGAGTGGTGTTCTAGAAGTTTAAACTTTCTTTAAAGGGGTTTGATCCAGTTTGCCTGCAGTGCGAGCTAAATATGCCTATATATACAGCTAGAGATCTAGAGATTATGTCTTTGACGTTTGCGGCCAGGAACCCTGCTTTATCGCTTTGTATAGTTTGAAAGTAGTTTAAAGCTTGAATAACATAAAATAACATAATATAATGTTATTTATGTTATTTCCCACGTAAAGAACTCCTGTAAACCTTGCAGTATTGAAACTCAGTGAACAAGGCATCTTAGACAAGCTGAAAAACAAATGGTGGTACGATAAAGGTGAATGTGGTGCGAAGGATTCCGGAAGCAAGGTCAGTTTGCTGAAGGATTTTCTGTAATCGCTTTTTTTTTTAATTATTATTTTTGAACCCCCCCCCCATTTTATTTCTCCCCAAAGTTAACTCTTTATCTTCCGAAGGTTAAGCAGTGAACTATTTTTATATAGAAAAGGAGAAGTCCATTGAAGGATTTGCCAAAGGGATAGTCTGACTCTTTTTCCTTTGCAATAACCTGTCCTCCCCCCTCTTTTTTTTTTTACATTTGATGCAACTTTGTTCTTTCTTTCCTCTCTCGCTCTTTTTAAAATCAAGGGTTTTTGGGGTTTTTTTGTCCTTGAAATTGGCCAAAGTCACTCAATATAAATAATCTCCAGTGGCTTCTCCGCTTTGCACAGATAAATATGCATCGAGAGAAAAGTTTGCTGTTGAATTCCTCTTTGATTGTGATCTTTAGTTGCTCTAAATTTGCAAAAGGCAGAGAGTTCCCTAGAAATTTTTTGTAACTTCTTTCTGAATACAGTGATGGGGAAAAGAAACAAACCAAGGGACACGTGAGGGCTAAAGATGAATCTTTTTGAGTGGATCCTTTAAAAAGCATAAAACACCCCCTTCCCCCCCCCCCCAGAAAGACTTGGAGGGTTTTTACAATCTAGTAGTCCATTGCCTCGTTGCAAATTCATTCGATAAATTTTAACTCTCTTTATCTTCTGACGGTTAAGCAGTGAACTATTTTTATATACAAAAGGAGAAGTCCATTGAAGAATTAGCCAAAGAAATATTCCGACTTCCTTTTCTTTTTCTTTGCAATAACTTGTCCCCCTCCTCTTTTTTTGCGTATAATGCGACTTCTTTGTTTCCTCTCTCTTTTTAAAATCAAGAGGATTTTTTTTGTTCTTGAAATTGGCCAAAGTCACTAGATATAAATAATCTCCAGTGGCTTCTCCCTTTTGCACAGATAAATAGGCATCGAGAGAGAAATTGCCTTTGGTCGTAATCTTTATCTTCTCCAAATTTACAAAAGGCACAGAGTTCCCTAGAATTTTTGTAACTTCTTTCTGGATACAGTGATGGGCGGGGGGGGACAAACCAAGAGACACATGGGGGCTAAAGATGAGTATTTTTGAGAGGATAAGCATTTAATTATATCATAAAACATCCCTTATTTTTTTTAAAGAAGGACTTGGAGGGTTTTTTAAATCGAATATTACATTGTTTGATTGCAAATTCATTCCATAAATGTTAGCCATTTGGTTTTTTTTAATGATTATTCATCAAACCATTTTGCTACTGTATTGCCACATTCCATACCAAAAACTTTTGCGACCTCTCACTTTGATTTCCTTTTTTATGGTACGGCTTTCAGCTTATTGACACCCAAATTATGTTGCGGGGGCGATGGTGTGAAGCAACCCTGGGCCGGCTTCTCTTGTGGAACTGCCTTACGCTTGGCGTGTATGTTCCATGCGCAGAAGGAAACCCGGGGCTTCGATTCCCAGTTTTCTTTTTTTTTTTTATTTGAAAGGAAGCATTCTGCTTACTTGTTGTGATGCAACATGGAGATGTATTTAATGGAACAATTTCCAACCCTCCCCCAATTATCCAAATCACATTTTGGATGCACTTTTCAAGGCACAAACCACAGTTTGATGTCCAGTTCCTGTTGTAAACGAATAGGAACGGCATGTCTATATTTTTATTGGTGCCTTTATTAAAAAAAAAGAAGAAAAAAGACTGTGGTCATTTTCATAACCAGCATTCTTAGGAGTTTTTCAGAAGGGTTCATCCCCTGGCCCTCCTGAAGTCAAGAGAAATGCATTGGTTTCAGGAGGGCTAGGATATAGCCTTTTAAATTTAAGTTGAATTTTGGGCCGATGGATGTTTTAATGCACCATTGCAGGATCAGCCTCTTCGTAACTCAAATTTTAAATGTAATCAGCAAGAACTTAAAATTCTATGAAGACAGTCATACCCAGGCTTCTCAACATGGTTTTGTCTTTCTCCGGCTACAATTGATATATTTGGGGAAAGATCATTAGGGGATTCGATCTGAGGAGCTTATTCGATAGACCTATTGCAAAAACTACTGCTACGACTGTTATTCTTATGGTAAGCTGAGGCTTAACCTGCAACTTTTGAAAAGCACCAGTTTTCTGTAATATCTGCCAGATTGGTCTGGAATCCAGATTGACATCAACCACTCAGGCCTTGCCTACATAAGAGAGCTGTGTTGGTTTTAAAATGAGTCCGTTGTGAAGCTGGGTCACGCCCCTTGTGCGGACAGTGCTTTTGGGGTTATAGATTTTTTTAAGCACGGAAGAACCCACGGCTTCTCTTCATTGCCCTCTTCTGTGCACTAAATTGGATTTTGCAGTCCACCGGTTGTCTGATTTGGTGGACTCCGTCCTGCAACGTTAAAGTTGTTAGGTGCTTCATGTGGGCTGACCAAGTAGGCTTTTGACCCGCGTCAAGAGATTCACTCTTTGAAGTCCAAAAGGGCTCTGTCCACCTTGGGACCTGAATCAGTTTGACTGAGTTTTGAATTCATACTCAGTGGCACCAGCACAACTTTCTCATGTTGACAAGCCTTCTGATTTTCTTTGTGTCACAGCTCAAACTATAAGGAGTCAAAATAACTGAGAACCAAGGGATTTGGTAAATCCAATCCAGCAGCAAAATGGTTACAATGACGTTTCAGACAAAAAAAATGAGTTATTTTTCCCTTTCTGCCTTAAGGATACAGCTTAGAGCAGGGTTTTTCAATGCTGGAAACTTTCAGATGGGTGGGCTTCAACTCCCAGAATT